ATTACCTTTAGGTAAAGCTAAGGACTTTCTAATGTTAAGTATGTGTTTGTGTCCTCCCTCTGCACCAAAAGCAAACCCTCATCCATAGCTTATGTCAAACTTTGTCATACCAGTAGCAGGCTGTCTGATGTTAGCATACAGCCAAAATAATATGGGGATGACGTGGTTCTTAGAGAGCAGAAACCAGGCCAACTTAAATGTTAAGCAGAGATTCAAAGGGTGGGAGCAGGACGAGAACCCTGGACAAAATGAAATATTTGAATACTACTCTGTCCTCAGCAGTGCGCTCAGAACTCTCATAGTTCTGACAATAATCCTGCAAGATTGTAAGTTGTAGACTGCTCTTTTGAGGTGAGGAAGCAAAGTTCAGATAGAACAATTGATCTTTCTCAGGTCAAAAGGAAGATACTTTATTAAGCTGAGATCTGAGATGTTGTCTCAGTAACAGTAGAGAGTCAACTTGGTACCAGTGCACTCTGTGGTTTAGTTAATTGTTCATACCATCTAATTGAAAAAATACATATTTTTTTGAAACAGAGTTTCACTCTTGTTTCCCAGGCTGGAGTGCAGTGGCGCTATCTCAGCTCACTGCAACCTCTGCCTCCTGGGTTCAAGTGATTCTCTTGCCTCCGCCTCTTGAATAGCTAGGATTACAGGCATGCGCCACCATGCCTGGCTAATTTTGTATTTTTAGTAGAGATGGGGTTTCTCCATGTTTGTCAGGCTGATCTCGAACTCCTGATCTCAGGTGATCGGCCTGCCTCGGCCTCCCAAAGTGCTGGGATTATAGGCATGAGCCACTGCACTCAGTCTGAAAATGTTCTTAACTTCCCAACATACCTGATGCAGAGCAGAATCTTATGCATACATTTCTTCCACTTGGAGCGTGTGAATTGCCTTGAACCAACTTGACAATTGTGGTAAACCTAGAAAGGCTTCAAGTTTAATCTTCCTTTCTTTCAGAAGTTAAGACCTCTTTGATATCTTAAGGTGCTCTACGCCTCTTTCCTGTTTTGTCCTTATTTCCAAAGAGAAGAAATATGGATTCTAGATTCATAGTTTAGAATCTGTAAAGATGAATATGTTATTTTCCTCTGGAATCCTCATTTCTACTCTATCCCATTTGGCTGTCCAGTATCTTAGATTCACACATTGCCTTAGCTGGCTTTAAAATGTATTATAATTAAATGACATAAATAGGGCCCTGAGGTGAAGCAGGACTGGGAGGAGTCATCATGGGTTTCCTCTCTGGTGAATTGAAGACCCTTTCACATCTTTGTAAATACAGGATCAGGCCAAGCGCAGTGGCTCATGCCTGTAATTCCAACACTTTGGGAGGCCAAGGCAGGCAGATTACCTGATGTCAGGAGTTCAAGACCAGCCTGGCCAATATGGCAAAACCCTGACTCTACTAAAAATATAAAAATTAGCTGGGTGCGGTGACTGTGCACCTATAATCCCAGCTACTTGGGAGGATGAGGCAGGAGAATCACTTGAACTTGGGAGGTGGAGGTTGCAGCGAGCCAAGATTGTGTCACTACATTCCAGCCTGGGCGATGGAGCAAGATTATGTCTGAAAAAAAAAAAGCATCAGGAGCAAACTCAAGGAATCACAGTTGAAGCTTATATTCAGCTTCACAGATGTAGCCATCACAATCCAAAGGAATTCATGGGGATGCTATATGCTCCACGTTGCTGCAGTATTCTGGTTTCCCCCTCCAGTCTGTGGCACAGTGACGCTCATCACAAGATCCAGCATGTGGATTAGACTCATTGTGTTGCTGCTATCATGGAAGTTGTTTATGAGATAACTTAAGTTGTCTTAGGATGACAGAGCATCTTGTCCAAAGGACAGTATACCCTTGAACCATAGCTATTAGACTTGCTAACTTCCCTCCATGACCAGACAGACCTGTGAGCACTGTGTGGATGGGAAAGAATATAAAAAGTGGTTTGAAAAGTCTTGACTTCTTTGTGGACTGTTTACCTGTTTTCACCTCTGTGTGAACTCTGGGTTTCTTCACCTGTATGCCCTGCTCTGGTACCCTCATTTTCCTCAGGTTAAATGTTAAGAACATGGTCCTAGGAGCTACTTTGTCTCTGCACTCTGCAGAGGATGGTTTCAAATGAGGACTAGAAATTCTGTTTAGTACTTAAATGAGTTCAGCCTGCAGAAAGTATGCTGAATGAAGACCCACTGGTTGAGCAAAAGACAAAATACAAACAGCAGTTTGACTATTGTTTACTTTTCTTTAAGGGTGGTCATATATTGGACTTTCTGCAGTTAAAATGCAGATTAGGGTAGAGAGAGAGAGATGGGAAATTTTCATATTCTTCTCCCATAAACTTCTTCTTCAGTTACCTTGGTTTCTTCTATCTTCTCAACGAATTGCCCTTCACTTAAATGAGACTTAATTGACTCAAATATCTGCAGACTTTTTGGTGGCCAAAACAGCGACTGTATATAAGCTCATAAATGGAAATGATTTATTTATAACTGGTTTTCATAAGAGCACAAGCCAATGAGGGTTTCTGCTTCTATCAAACTTATTTAACTGCCAGCAACATTAGTCATGATCTAATCGTTGGAACATGCAAATGATTTCAAACAGATAGCTTCACAAAGTAATGGAATGTTTGTGTTTCTCTGGCATCAGAAGATCCTGAAGATGTTTTTGGAGACCACTGTGGTGTGGAAGAATCTGTGGTTACAGTAACTCTCCTGCTTAGCTGGAGTTGCAAGCTTACCTCTCATGTGCCTTCTTTCTAAATCAGGCACTTTACTGAGTCTTTGCTGTTGTGGAAGACAAGTGCCATTCAGTTCCTTGCCAGCATTCTTTTCCTGACCATTCACCAGGCTTAGAGATTGTTCCTCTCTTATTTCACTACAGAAGAAGCCTTGTCTTTTGAAAATTAGTATTTAATTTACAGGGTCCTGAGGTTACTTATTTCACTGAATCCATTCAACCAATAAGGGAAATTCATTAATGATTGCAATTAACAATGAATTCTGTCTCAGTTTCTTGGTCTCTGTTACTACAGTAACGTTAGCTGTATGAGAAGATCCTCAAACCATCAGAGGTTCTTGGGATGAAGTATAAGGGCCTCTCATACTCAGGGTATGTGCACAATTCCTGTGAGATTGTTTGAATGAATGTGATTCCTGGATCCTGCCCCAAGACTTCAGTTAGCATTTACTTGGCTTTAATAGGCAATGCTCCCTTCGCTGATATGACTTAGTAGTTCTGACCATAGTGGTATAATTGAGATAGTCTTCTGCTGCTCTGTCTTTAATAGCACCTACTCTTAGGCTTAGTTATTATTAGTTTATTTTCACACCTTCTGAATGTCACTTGTTGGTGGTAGGTTGTCCTTCCTATTAAAAATAGGCCCTTAGAAAACAATTACCAATTGGCAGTCTTCTGACATAGCAACACAGTTTTTCTTACTGCCTCAGCAGTTTCATATTACAGGAACCAGTGATACTTGGCTTTCCTTTTGTTCATAGAAGTCTAGTAGAGTTCTTATACTGTTCAGCCCTTCAGCCTTTGTACCTTCTGCAGAACTGTTCTCCCAGAAGAGAAGAGTTGTGCTGCTCTCCATCTCCCCAGATACTGATTCCTGTAGAGCTCTGCTATGTGATGATCTTTGCACGCTGGCGGTGGCCCAGGTCATTGTCTGTCTTCCCTGTCTTCTCCTTTCCAAATACCATATATAGGTGTTGAAACAGGTTTTTGGGTCACTCCCCAGGGTTAGTGCTGAGTCTTTTGGACTTATACTATGTGAGTAGCCTAAAAGGAATGGTCATACCTGGAGGAGGTGCTGTCCAGCATCAAGTAAACAATTACCTTCAGACAATCTGGTTGCAGGTAAGTGCTACATGTTTTTCTAATGGTATCTTTATTGTTCTGTAAATATGCCAATATAAAGGCATATTTAGGCTGGGCGTGGTAGCTCACGCCTGTAATCCCAGCACTTTGGGAGGCCGAGGTGGCGGATCACTTGACATCAGGAGTTCAAGACGAGCCTGGCCAACATGGTGAAACCCCATCTTTACTAAAAATACAAAAAATTAGCCAGGTGTGGTGATGCATGCCTATAATCCCAGCTACTTGGGAGGCTGAGATAGAATCACTTGAGCCAGGGAGGCTGCAGTGAGCTGAGATCACACCACTATACTCTAGCCTGAGTGACACAGGGAGACCCTGTCTCAGTAAACAAACAAACAAACTACAGCACATTTAGAATAATTGCGACAAAGAGTATAGGCCAGACTTCTGGACCTATAGCAAGGTACAGCATGGGTATGTTTTTACTATTTGTGTAGCACCTTAGTGCTCTGTGGTATGTTGTCAGTGCTCAGTAAATGTTTGTTGTGGCTATTATCATTACTAGTATTATTATTTAGAATTCAACAGGAGAGGTTAATATAGAGGATTCTCAGTTGGGATAGAATATACTCTAAATCTTTATTTTTTTAAAATTGTGGATATTTACTTTAAGGCTGTAAACTAATTGTCTCTAGTTAAAACAAACAGTTAATCCTTTCTATCACTTAGTCCTAATATAGCAATGTGACACTAGCAATTGCTTTTAGTCTTAGAGGTTAGTAAGTAGGACTGTTTCTTATTAACTTGTTAGGGCAGCATGAAATGCCTTGCCTACCCAGGGCGCATTCCACTGGACTAAGCAGTTAGAAATTAGAACAGGAGGATTACTGGTAGTTCATGTCTTTGGTACTACTGCTAAAGTTCTGATTATATAAATTCTTGTGTGTGCGTCTGTAAATTCCTAATTTCTTTCTTTCCATTTTATTTTAAAACACCCTCTGAGGACCTTCCCTACTTGAGTTGTAAGACTGGTGTGGACATTCTTCATGATATTTAACATGGGTTTTCCTTTTCTTAATTACACTGCATGATCTTCAAATAATTCTTCCTTCTCCTGGGCAAGAGTACCTCCCAAATATTTATACATATCCATGTTTTGTTTCTTTGCAGTTGAGCTGGCAATGATTATGGACCGTTTGTACGGTGGTGTCTGCTATGCTGGCATTGATACAGACCCAGAGCTGAAGTACCCCAAAGGTGCTGGTCGCGTAGCATTCTCCAATCAGCAGAGTTACATTGCAGCCATCAGTGCTCGCTTTGTGCAGCTTCAGCACAATGACATTGACAAACGGGTAAGCGCCTACTTAGGGTGGAACTGCTATGGGAAAGAAAAGAAGTTTTTTCTGTGGTTTCCTGGGAAGAAAGGCACCTTGTGATCATAAGTGAGCTGCTCTACCTTGGATGACATTAGTCCATGAGTCCATCTAGGCTGCCTGAAAAAGAGATCACTGTTGGTATTTAAGGCGTTAAGGAATATTCTGCCTCGCCCATCCCCAGAGTGATGTTACACTTATTAAAATAATCCTGCAAAATTTAGCATACCAAACTAGTGCTGTTCAGAAGATGACACTAACAGTGTGTTAACAGAAATGGAGAGCTGGTGACCTACTTGACCTACATAGTGCTCTTAAACAACAAAGAAACTTAGATTTACATTTAAACATTCAGGAGTATATATGAGATGTTGAACTTCTGGCTTGAAAATTGCAAGATCATACACTGTGGCAATCACTGGAGCCAAAAGCTGCTTTTCCCTTCTTCTGTTTCTCCTGCTTACATCGTATATGCATATACATTACCTGCCACACTGTTTGTGGGTATTACCTGCCTAGCCTCTAGTGACATTAAGAGTGCTACATCTGATGTAAAGAGGGGGCATGAAGTAGAGTTTAGGCAGTTGGTGTACATAATTGGTTTTGCAGATAAACATGAGTTTAAATTCCTTGAACCCAAGCTTTGACAGCTGTTTGGAAGCTTAGGGATATGGAAGCCAGTAAGAGCCAATCTGGACCCTGTATTAATAAATGAAAAGAGCAAGTAGGGGAATAGCACCAAGTCTTGAACGCCTGCCTGTGCAACTGTGCTATGACTATTAATTCTTCTAGTAAAGAATGTTTTTGGGGCATACACTGGACTAGAATTAGTAAAGTAGTAAATATGTTTTATATGAAGTTTCACTTATATCCTCTGCATCCAACTTTGACTAATTTTGTGTAGCAGGCAAGTTTCTGAGGTAAAAATTTTAACTGGTGATGGATTTTTTATATTCAAGATTATATTTTTGTAAAGACATGTATCTGATCAAAAACTACAAGGGCCCAGGCTAAGAATAAATATTCTCTTTGCTACTTCACTGAACTGCTTAAGAGTAAGTGGTAGCGATTTGGTTTTTAATTAAAATGAATAAAATAATTTAGAATTTTGAAACACTCTTTGAAGTCATGGAGATTCAAAGGCATAATAAAGATTCAACTCCATTTCCAGTTTTTAAGTATCCATAGCAATCTGAGCATGCCCTTTTGTTTTGGTTTTTTTTTTTTTTTTTTTTTTTTTTTTTTTGAGATGGAGTTTCGCCCTTGTTACCCAGGCTGGAGTGCAATGGCGCGATCTCGGCTCACCACAACCTCCGCCTCCTGGGCTCAGGCAATTCTCCTGCCTCAGCCTCCTGAGTAGCTGGGATTACAGGCACGTGCCACCATGCCCAGCTAATTTTTTGCACTTTTAGTAGAGACGGGGTTTCACCATGTTGACCAGGATGGTCTCGATCTCTCGACCTCGTGATCCACCCGCCTCGGCCTCCCAAAGTGCTGGGATTACAGGCTTGAGCCACCGCGCCCGGCTGTTTTGTTTTTTGAGACAGAGTCTTGCTGTCACCCAGGCTGGAGTGCAGTGGCGCAATCTTGGCTCACTGCAACCTCCATCTTCCAGGTTCAAGCAATTCCTTGCCTCAGCCTGCTGAGTAGCTGGGATTACAGGTGCCTGCCACCATGCCTAGCTAATTTTTTTGTATTTTTAGTAGAGACGGGGTTTCACCATCTTGGCCAAGCTGGTCTTGAACTCCTGACCTTGTGATCCATCCGCCTTGGCCTCCTAAAGTGCTGGGATTATAGACGTGAGATTGTAAACTCCACAAAGATGGGCATGGTAGCTGTCTCATTCCCTGCCTGGTCCCTAGTATTTACCTGTTGCTCGATTCAGTCACTGATGCTTGATAAACCTTTGTTGAATTAACACATGTTGCTACTTGGAGGGTTCTTTTAACTTCTGCTGCTGTTGTTGGTAGACATGCTTGTGCCTGTACATTTGGGAGTCACGTACCAGATTCTATTACATTGAGACCTCTATTGCAACCATCACTGGTGAACCTAGGCAGTGAACTTAACCTGAAGAGCCTTGGGTTCTTATCTATATGGAAGTAGCTTTCTTTGTTCTTCTCTACAGCCAGAACTAGTGACTGTACAGGAGGTAGATCCTGGAAAAAGAAAACCTAGAGGAGGTCTCCATTTCCCCATGTCTCTACCTTCTCTTTGCCTCCATCCTACCGACCTCCTGGCTTATTCCTTATTAGAGGGAGATATGTTTGCCCTAGAGATTTGTAGTAGTCATTGAGCCCCTTTAAGAATCATAATAGCTGGACACAGTGGCTCACACCTATAATCCCAACACTTTGGGAGGCAGAGGCGGGCAGATCATGAGATCAGGAGTTTGAGACCAGCCTGGTCAAGATGGTGAAACGCCAACTCTACTAAAAATACAAAAAAATTAACCGAGTGTGGTGGCGCGTGCCTGTAGTCCCAGCTACTCAGGAGGCTGAGGTAGAAGAATCACCTGAACCCAGGAGGCGGAGGTTGCAGTGAGCCGAGATCACGCCACTGCATGCCAGCCTGGGCGACAGAGTAAGACTTCACCCACCCCACTCCACCCCCAAAAAAATAAATTCAGATATGTTTGTTTCGTTGCCTATCCCTGTTCTCACAGCTACTTTGAGGCAGGCTCAGGCCTTCAGTATTTCTTCCCACAAGATTAGAACTAGGTTAAAAATGAGAGAAATGGCTTTGCTTTTGTTAGCATGATTGTAGAACATGCTATGAGGAACATCAAACTTCTCAGGGCTCAGGAAAGTCATTGACTTTTCTGTAATTGGGTTAACCATATATTTTATATCTATATCTTAGAATAGTCCTTGGTAAACATTTAAGGTAGCAGCTAGTTGTAGGGAATTTGGAGTAAGAACAGATTCCAATACATTTAAACCTTTGCTGCTTCAATCAGTCACTGGCGACCCCAAACAGGTTACTTAAGGCCAGCAGCTTCAGGTCCTCATCTGTAACTCCTTCCTGGGGATGGTCTGAAGATTAAATGAAATTTTACTACTGAAAAGCCAGATCCTTATGGCAGGTCAACAGGTATTTAACCAGCAAGTATTCATCTTGCTACAAATTGTACTTAATACTGATTTTTGTTAATATTATGTAGGTTGAGTTTTAATAGTTGCTCTACTGAAGAAGTAGCAGAAAGGTACACTGGTTAGTGAAAAAAGCACTGTTCCCGAGTCAGATAGCCTGGGTCTAGATCTGGTCTTGTTCCCCCTGCAGTTATATGATCTTGGACAAGTTACTTAAATTCTGAGCTTCAGGGTACAGTGAAGGCAATAGTAATAGCCTTGGGTGTCCCATGAGATGGGTGAGAAGCCCAGAAAGATATTGTTCAAGAAAGCAGTGTGTACAGTGTTTATGTGTATGGTGGGACTGTTGCAGTGGGCACAAGAATGCTACCTCCATGTGATGTTAGAATTGGGCCCAACAGTTCCTTCAGTGCCTCGGGATTAGAGCCATCTGAGTGGGAATATTGGAAGTCATTGAAAGTGGCAAAGTCCCTACTCTCCCTTTTGCCCCTCAGAGATGAGCTCCATCTTTTTTTTTTTTTTTTTTTGAGACGGAGTCTTGCTCTGTTATTAGGCTGGAGTGCAGTGGCGCCGTCTCAACTCACTGCAACCTCTGCCTCCCAGGTTCAAGCAATTCGCCTGCCTTGGCCTCCCGGGCAGCTGGGTCTACAGGCACACACCACCACACTCAGCTAATTTTTGTATTTTGAGTAGAGACGGGGTTTCACCATGTTGGCCAGGATGGTCTCGATATCTTGACCTCATGATCCACCCATCTCAGCTTCCCAAAGTGCTGGGATTACAGGTGTGAGCCACCACTCCCTGCTGGGCCAGCTCCAACTTCGTTGTTTGCCCTGACCAATATGGAGATCCTTTCCCTTCCCTCCCCTCCTTCCCTCCCCCTTCTCCCCTCCCCCTTCTCCCCTCCCCCTTCTCCCCTCCTCTGTCCCCTCTTACTCCTTTCTTCTCTCTCTTCTTTCTTCCTCCTCTTTCTCCTTCATTTTTCTCCTTCCTCCTTCTTTTTCCTTCTTTCTTCTTCCTCTACTTTGAGACATTTATTTACTTTCCCATAAGAACAAACATGAGTAGGCCAGGCGCAGCAGCTTATGTGTATAATCCCAGCAGTTTAGGGGGCCAAGGTGGGAGGATTGCTTGAGCCCAGAAATTCAAGACCAACCTGGGCAACATAGGGAGACCTCATCTCTACAAAAAAAATTTTTTTTTAATTAGCCAAGTATGGTGGCACATGCCTGTGTGATTCCAGCTATGGGGGGAGGCTGAGGAGGGAGGATTGCTTGAGCTAAAGAGGTTAAAGCTACAGTGAGCTGTGATCATGCCACTGTACTCCAACCTGGGCAACAGAACAAGACCTTGTCTCAAAAAATAATAATAAATCATGGATTGTTATGTCATGATCATGTAGTGGCTAAGTCTTGTATCTCCTCAGGAAAATATAGCACTATTGAGTGCTAGAGACTCTATAGAGAACTTCAGTCTTTGGTCATAGCATTAATCTGTTTCCTTCTGATGTGAGCCCAGAGTTGCCTTTAAACCAATACTTTGACTATGTTAAGTAGCATCAACCTTTGTTACCTTTTTACCCAAAGTATCCTCCCTTGCTGTCTGCATCATTATAAATATAGATGCAGTGAATTTTTAAAAGTAGAGATGGCATTTAAGGGTCACTTACTTCCTGTTTGCAGCCCTTATCCCTTAAGAAGAGTGGGAGGGGACTGCCTGCAGAGCAGCAGTGCCTGACAATCCAGTGAGACAATTCATTAAGTGTTGGAACAGTGAAAGCAGTAGGGCCACATGAGGTGTGTGCTCTCGGGTTGCATCTTTCTTGTGTATGCTGTGGGAGGTACATGACGAAGAAATTGACTGGTATATCTCCTTTACCTCTTTTGT